AGATCTTCTGTCTTTTTCCTACTAAGCCGCCGCCGTAATAATCTTGAGATCGCACAGAGTTCCCGCTTGTTCATTATTCATTAAAAAGTTAGCAGGGATCAAGGACCTTACAGGAAGCGCAAGAATCCATAGAGCTCTCGCAAAAACGCACACTAATGAGTTAGGGCAGTTGCATGGAACCCCTTAACTTGCTGGCCGAGGTGCGTTTTCCTGACTGCTTGGCACTGAGCACAGCCATAACCATCCACACGCAGACTGGGATAAAACGCTCCTACGCAGAGGATTGGAGAATCTCCACAGGACCGTTCGACGCGGATAGAATTAGATAGGCTATATCTGCCTCAGCGCCTTTCAAAACACCTGGAGCAGATGGAATTTTCTCAGTTCCTCTTCAAAAGGGACTTCTCCGCTTGCTAACCTTCCTGATTCCACTTTTAGGAGCATGTTTTGCGTGGGGGTCGCTTCCACTACAATGGCAGGAAGTGACTGTTCGCTACATCCCAAAAGTTGGAGGAAAACCAACCAAGGTCATACCGACATATTAGTCTTACGTCCTTTCTACTAAAAACAATTGACAGAATCGTACTACAGGTAACGCTTTACATAGACACCAATATGCCTATCTTCCAGGTAGATCTACTATCCACGCTCTCCAAGGTCTAACAAGGAAAATTGAAAAGCCCTTGGAGGAAAAGAGGTGGCGGTGGTATGTTTATTGGACGTGGAGGACGCTTTTGACAACGCGGAACGCTCACTAATAGACAATTGCGTCCGGCGCAGTGGTGAAACCACATGCCACTGGATATGAAATGTTCTTAAATCTAGAACCATTACGTGCACTATAAGAAAGGAAAGGGTCAGACTTTTAGCTACAAAAGGTTGTCGGTAGAGGGGAGTGATCTCCGCTATGCCTTGGTCCATCGTAGTAAACGAACTAACCTGCCTTCTTAGCGAGTCATCCTAATCAGAGGCAGGTTTGAAGACACTATCTCCAACCTCCTAAAGAATGCTCTGAACATAGTCGCCAATTGGTGCAGTAACAATAGGTTAAACGCAAATCCTAAGAAGACTAGCATAGTCGTTTCTCCAGGAAAAGGAAAAGGGACAAATTGCTAGAACCATTCCTTCAAGATGAAAAGATACACTTCCCCAAAGAGGTCAAATATCTAGGAGCTATCCTTGATGCCAAGCTCTCATGAAATGCGCACCTAGATAGAATTATTCAAAAGGCCAGGGCCTCTATCTGGACCTGCCGGAAATTTATGGGACGGAACTGGGATATCAGACCTAGACTGGTAAGGTGGATGCCATCTGCAAACTCATTCTCACCTATGCTGCACCCAGCTGGTGGGAGAAGGCAGAAGTAAAATCCACGCAGGCTAAGATCGGCAACAACGACTAGCCTAGACTAGTGGGCATCACTGGCGCGATGAGAAAAAACCAACTGCGGCTCTCGAGGCGCTTCTTGACCTGCCTCCTCTACACTTTGTAATCATGAAAGATGCTCTATTATTTACAGCAAGGCTCATCTCAATGGACAGTGTAGAGTACAAAGAGCTCATACATTATTCCACCGTTAGGCGAAACTACTATATCTGGATGAAGAACGAAGCGCAACATTACTGGCACATTATGTGACGTTGTAATGCCCTCACCAGTGGCTATGTGGATCAAATATGACCAGTAATTGAATAGAGGTTTATTACAATAGATCGTTTTCGGTTGCGGTAACTAGGTGACCTGCTCCCTTCTCTAAATCTAATCTAATCTAATCTCCAAAACAATTTAATGCGGCCTCGCTCCCGAATGCCTTATTCCCAAAAAGAAATTCCGATTCGAATTTCATGATTCGGACCTGGTTGATCTGCCGGTCCATCGAGTAGAGGCCGACTCTGGTGCCTTGCTCTATTTTTCAACCATCAGTATAGATGGATATACCCTATTCTGCCTCTGGAGTTCCTACATACCATTCTTTTCTGATCGGGAACCTAATACATAGGTAATTAAGTACTGAAGTTCCAAACTCCCATATATAGTCAGTGCTGGTTTCCATATCAGCTCTTATTCCATTAAACCGGCCCCTTTTTTATTGTTTTGTGGGTCATTTATTGAGACAATCATTTTAAATCTAATACGCTTATTTTTTGTAAAATCATGCCGTGTGAGATAGAGTGCGGGTTTCTGGTTTAAAAACAATTTTTTTTTACCATAACCATTTGAGTTACTCACCGTGTTTGAATCTTTACAGCTTCTATAGCGTTCTTCATAAGTTGCTCAATGTCCGTACTTTGTCCCTTAAGCTTTATTTCATCGCATAAGGCTTGGACAAATGGACTGCCTTTCTCGGTGCGGTACGAGACATAACCTATGAAAGTTTTATTAGTTATTACGCATTATTTTTATTTTTTTTTAAGTTTGAAATATTGAATGTAGATATAAATACAAGTACATATTTATGTAGTTACCTTCAAAAGTACTATAACATTTGAGTATTTCGCTGGGAGATCCACGTGGCATAGAAGCGTCTTTCTTATATTCACCTGGTACAAGTGAACCTTTGCAGGCTTGTATAATGAAAATTTTCGGCTTCTCCTTTAAACTTGGTATATCTAATATGGGATGTAGCATTGTTTCATCAACATTGTATTCACCATCGCTAGCCGCAACAGAGTCATGAGCACTTCCATGGCTTAGAATAGCAATTACTAGACACGAGTAATTGGTGAAATCCTTTTTAATCACTAAAAAAATTTCATATTTTTAGAAAAATGCACCTATGTATAAGCACAAAATTTACTTATAAAATGGCCAAGGAAGGCTTAAATAAAGTAAGTAAAAAATTTTAGTTAAACGGTTTTATTCTAAAGAAATATAATAACGATGTTAAAATGAAGCTAAAAACTAATTTCATAGGTACCAGGTGCCAGTCATCACCCCTCTCTTGTAATTATTTTTTAAAACCGCTTGACTTAAATTTTTTTAAAACACTTTATTTTCAAGTTTGTAGTGTTTAGCTGCTTAATTAAACCTTTTAATTTGATACCCATTTTGATAGCGTTGTAAAAATTACATTTTTTTTCACCAATTCGTGGCGGTACCCATCTTTGATTTATAATGACACTGAATATACCTACGTGTTTTTATTGCCATCAGAACAAAAGGTGAGTACCAAGTTTCAAATCAAGAGGTCAATAGGAAGGGGTTAAAAATTCAATTAACACTAGATTTGACCAAAATCAAGCTAAATAAAACCGACTAAAAAAAAA